CTAAAGAGCCCTGGAAAACGTAACTTGCCTACAACTCTCCACACACAAGGGCATGAGCTGAAATGTTTATCTTTGCAAGCCACAGCTGTTCTTACCTAGAAGTATAGATTAGAACCATCTGTAAGAAAATAAGCTTCCGGCCCGGACCTGCACCTAAGAGAAATCATGCCTGACTCTCTCACAACTCCCGAGTTAGGGTGAGTTCTCCCAGTTCCCCAGCACTTCTCACCAGCTCAAGCCAGGATGCCAGGCGGGACCTCCCAGGCTGCCTGGAGCGGGGTCGAGTCCTTGCTCCTTCTGGCTCTGTCCCGGCTCTCCTATGATGGGTCCTGAGGAGCGGTGTGGCCCTTGGTGTGAATGGGGTGTGAGCAGTGTGCTGTGGTGGGCACTGTGGTCCCCAGTGTCTTTGTGAAGGACAGGGGTGGCTTTGTGTTCTGAGTGTAGCTCCATGCACCTCGAATTTGGGATGGCGAGCCCTGTCCCAGAAACATGACAAGTCTGGTCAAGTCCCCTGTGATGGTGAGACAGTCTGAGCATCTTCCAAACAGCTGTATGTCAGGGCGCCAAGTGAAACAGCTGGTCTTTGGTCCAGAGGGTTTGTTTCCAGGCTGTGTTGGCTCCGTCCGCATGGTCCCCTTCGGAAGCCTCCTGATCAGGGGCCGCAGATGTAGGCAGCACGCAGTCCCCATGGCACGGAATCTCCCCACCCCTCTGAGCCATGCCCTGCGTCTAAGTTGCTGCCAGACCCCAGCACATCCCCTGCCCACGGAGCCCCTTCCTCTGCCTGGACTGTCACCCAGCTCCTCTCAGGACCCCCGGCCTTACTTCTTTGTGTGTTTGCAACCCCAGGAATCAAAGGTCTGGGATGCGTTTGCCTGTTAACAGCAGTAAAAGAAGAAGGTAATTGGCAAGAAGACGTGAAAAACTCCCATATTTAATGTTCTAAGATTAAGTTGCCATCATTCACATACTCATTTGGTGACTACGTCAATGGAATATGTGGTTTGCATAATAATTTTGAGAACAAACAAGTCATGGTCTCTTCATGTATGATCTGTGCCAAAGGAAGAAGCATCTTTAATCAAATAGTTAGAGAACTTAATGTGAAGAAAACACCTAGTAGGGGTCAGAGGGACTAGTTCTGATTATAATCATTCTCTCTCTACATTCGACCACATCAGGGGCCAGGGAAATTCTGATCAGGGAGGAAGCACAGGGTGAAGACGTGAAGGTGGGCGAGACACTGGGGCCTTTGCAGCAGATGTGCAGAGTGCCATCGAGCACGTGTGTTTGCTGATTGGCTTGTTTTCCCTCCACAGTGGAGGTGACCCTGGATGTTGACACCGCCAACCACTACCTCATCGTTTCTGAGGACCTGAGGAGTGTCCGCTGTGGGTATTCCAAACAGAACCGGAGAGTCCGAGCCGAAAGATTCAACTATGCCCTGTGTGCCCTAGGCTCCCCTTGGTTCCCCTCTGGCCGCCACTACTGGGAGGTGGACGTGGGGACGAGCAAGGAATGGGATGTGGGTGTTTGCAGAGACTCTGCTAATCGACAAGGGCCAATTCTACTGTCCGCAGAACTTGGCTTCTGGACGGTGGGCTTGAGAAAAGGAGAGCTCTTCCAAGCCAGCACCATGCCTGTGACTGTTCTCTCGGGGAGCCCCCGGTTACACTGACTAGGGATTTTCCTGTACATGAATTTTGGCACCGTTTCCTTTTATCACATTAGCGATGGATCCCATATTTTCACCCTCACTGAAATTCCTGCTGTGGAGACACTGCGTCCGTTTTTTGCTCTTTTGGATCCCATCACGGATGGTCAAGGCTTCCTGAGAATCTGTCCTGTGATGAGTCCAGCTCCAGTGGGCTCTGATACAGAACAAAGTTTCTAGAAAATCCTCGTGTGCTCAGAGCCGCAGCTGGGACCTTTCCTGCTTGTTACGTGGACGGCGCAGCAGGCAGCAGAAAAGCATGGAACAGCTGGCGAACACGAACACTAATTACACAAGGGAGCAGTGCCTTTCAAACATAAAGTATCGCCACAGTCATTCTCTTTGGGACTTTTCATATTTCTGTTCCAGTGAATGGGTTCTGGATTTTCAGATCAATTTCCAAATGTATTTATTTTCCGCAGTATTAACTTCGTGTGTGATGGAGATTATAAACTAAATAAAAACGTGGGTGTGACCGAACAGATTGATTTTCTAGGTACTATGTAAGCAAAACCTACGGAAACAGTAAATATGTGTGTGTATGTATTCAGTTTCCCTCAACGGCTGAAATGCACACATTCCTTTCAGGTGCACAGCATTTGGAATATAGGAAGAAGGCAGGCAGGGCAATCAGGGGGTGGCTTCCACTGAAGGGGGATTGCAGCCTGGCACCCTCTAGCTGCCCCTGCCCCTCATCACTGTGCCATGGCCTGCAGGCCGTGGGGTAAAGGGAGTGAGCTGGTGGCTGTCAGCCCAGGGGGGGTTCTCTAGCAGCTGGTGGGCGTGTCATTGCAGGGGGGACTGTGTGTGCCACCCTGGCAGGGGGAATGTGCATGGGACCCAGCCCTTTCCAATAAGGACCATGCTTAACTTCTGTATGTGGTCAATCTGTCCAATCATGGAGACGGTCAGTGAGAATCTTCCTAGGTAACAGGAGCACTTCTGCCACGGTGGGTCATCCCCCCTGGAGAGCAAACGCTTGCAGGTCCCCGAGCAGCAGAAGGGACTGCCTCGGTGCAGTTCTCAGAGGGGGCTCCCAGGGTGCTGCAGATGAGGAGGACCAGCCAGGAACACTGACCGTCAAGTCCCGCGGGCATTCAAGGGATTGGGAGGCAGATTATGACACTGTTGTTGAGTTGTGTGCTTGAAAACGTCCATAAAATGTGCACTGTAAGGAGCAATCGTTAAATGGAGCCCTCTGAAATTACAAATATGCAAACTAAAATACATGAGTGATGAAAAAGAATTAGCCCTAAAAGCAGAATGACACCAGAGAAATAATAGGAAGCGAAGGATGGCAAAGACAGCGCCCCTGGGGAGTGTGTGGCTGTCTCAGGGGCAGGGTCATGACAGGCCTGCAGACACCAAGACAAGGAGTTGCAGGGAGCTAACTCTTCTTAGTCGGGTAGTAAATACATTCGGCTCACGGGCCATGTGGTGTCTGCCATATCTACTTCCTGCTGCCTTTGTAGATGGAAGCTGCCACAGACAATATGAAAACAAGGGTCCGTGTTCCAATGCAACTTTATTTACAAAAAGCAGCAGGCGGCCAGGCCCTGGCTGGCCCACCCGCGTCGGGGCGTCATGCGCTGACTGCCGGCGGGTTCACAGCCCAGCGCAGGGTGTGTGCACCCCGAAAGCGCAGAAGGGGCATGGGGTCCAACGCGCAGGGCGGCGCGGCATGGGGCCCAAGCAGGAGGAGAGGATTCTGCACGGAGAGGCAGACCGAGTTCTCGAGGGAAGGTGAGGCAGAGGCCGAGGCTGGCTGAGACAGGTGGAGACGGAACGCGCGCGAAAGACTGGAGCAGTGGGCCGCGCGAGCACACGCACTGAGGCGCTGGGGAGCAGGGGAGCGCGGGCGGGGTGCGCGCTGGGGTCCTGCGCTGGACGCACAGCGCAGGACCTCCGTCTCCAAAGCCACGCGCCCGTCACAGACCCAGGCGCTCCCCCAGACAAGCCCTGGGCCATCCTGTCCCCTCCGGCCCTCAGCCCCTGCAGACACACCCAGTGGAACCCCCACAGGCACCCACAACGGCCGCCGGGGCAGCTCGGCGGAGAGCCACGAGAACCAGTGAGGCAGGCACAGATTAGACGGCTGCGCTCCTTCAGCGTTCAGGTCGGGATGGGTCACAAGCGAAGGCGATCAGGACGAATGGGGGGCTCTACTGAGAAGTGGTGGCTAGCATATTCTGGACAGACGAACGAGTGCGGGACACAAGGTCTTTGGAGGTCAGGTGTACTCGCGCTGAAGGACGGAAAAGGAGCGGGCCCGAGAGCTAATGCCGAAAACCCCTAAGCTGTGCAGCTGCGTGTGTGACCGCGCTGCTGCTGGGCTTGGCCGTGCTTCTCGTGTGTGACAAGGACGGACGCGCGGACCATCACAGCCTTCCAGGAGAGCACGATGGGGCGCCGTGCTGCCTCGGCCCCGTGTGCGGCGCCCCGAGCCCGGCAACGGCGCCGCGTTCTCCAGGGTCAGCCCAAGAAACACTCCCGGCCAGCTTCCAGCGCCCCCAGGCACTCCCTTCTCTGGATGGGGAGGCTGCCGCTCTCCCCTCCCTCCATCCACCCCTACAGTCCCTGCCGGTCATCTGCAGGAGGGAGCCTGTCAGCCTGCCCTCACCCACCCCTGGACAGCAGGGACAGAAGTCCCACCGCCCTTCTCCTGAGCTCACTCCTGCTCTGCCCTCTGTCTCAGCCCCCCGTCCCCATGGCTGTTCGGGGCTCACGAGCCAGCCTCTCAAGCGGGCCACCTCCTTGGGGAGAGACGCTCAGCCCTCATCACCGAGGGCGAGGGATCCAGCGGGGGCGGGTCAGCGGAGGAAGAACACAGGCCCAGCAAATGGGTGGCACCCGGGGGGGGGGGGGGGGGGGGGGGCCTGGGCTCCAGCAGAAGCAGACTCCGGTTTCTCAGGACCACTGGCCGGACGGGGGATGTGCGCGCGGTGGGGGTCACGTCCGGTGGGGGTCACGTCCGGTGGGGGTCACGTCCGGTGGGGGTCACGTCCGGTGGGGGTCACGTCCGGTGGGGGTCACGTCCGGTGGGACACAGCACAGTAGTGCTGTCAAGGGCTCACCAACAGCTTACCGAGCCCTGGACGACCCCTGACCCCCATTCAACAACCCCATCAGCTCTCCAGCCCTAAGTGGGCTGCACCGCCCCCCCTGCACCCACACAGCCCCCACCTGCCCCCAGAACAGAAAGGCTTCTGAGAAGAGGCAACCAGGTTGGAGCCCTGGCCCCCCAGGTGAGGGGTCCTATGAATCACAGATGGGAACTTGGGGGAGCCACACCCGTGAGAACTGCCATTTATTCCCGAAGTCGCCGAAATTATCACCAAGGATTCACCAAGGGGTGTGCATGGGGACGAGGAGGCTCAAACACTGATTGAGGGACCAGCTGGGAGGGAGGGGGATGGATGGGGGGACCCCCAGCTGTCCCTCCCCTAATGCCACAGGAAAGGGGTCCTCCTCTGGCCAGCACCCCTCCCCATCCCCCATGTCCAGTTTCTCTCCAGGGAGGTGGGGTGGGGAGACATGGAAGAGGGTGTAGTGTGAGTGGGCCCCAGGAGGGAGAGGGTGCTGGGGTGGGGGCGGGGGGTCCCCCGCTTCACATGCACTCACAACACTGGTCTCCCAGGGAGCAGAAATGGGGGAAGCCAGGCCAGGCCAAATCCCCCTCCCTCCTGGATTATAGGAGGAAGGGGTTAGTGTTGGGGGCCGGGGGGCCTGGGGGCATCATGGGGGGCAGGCCAGGGCCCCCACCAAGAGGAGAGATGTATGTTGGTGGTGCTCCAGGGACCGGGGGCACAGGGCTAAGCCGGAGCTGGTTCAGCGTGAGCGTCGCAGGGGGTGCGGGCTGGAAGGGATTGGTGATGGAGGGGCCGGTGGTCGGGGCTCCTACAGAAGAGAAAGGAGAAGAGACACGCAGAGCAGAGTCAGGGGTCTGCCTGGGGAGGAGGTCAGCAGGCAGGACCGGCCTGGGAGGCCCACACTCACCGCTTGGCAGGAAGGGGTTGGAGGCCTTGGCTCCTGGCGCCGTGGGGCCCGGCCGGCTCACCAGCGAGTCCAGATCGACAAGAGCTGCATTAGGCCCCAGGAATGACTCTGGTGTCTTCCGTGTGGGCGGTGGTGGTGTTGGGGCAACTGCGGGTGGGGGGCTCCCCACGGCCTCAGCCAGAGAGCCCCCGACCCCACTCATGTCAAACGCCCCAGGACTGCGGGCGGGCACCTCTCCGGCGAGCAGCTCCAGCTCCCCTAGAAGAAGCCAGAGAGGGGGTCAGGGCAAGATGGACAGTGGGGGCCTCAAACAGGGAGGCCGTGGTACTGAGAGGCAGAGCCCAGGGAGGGACACGGGTCCAAGGAAAAGCAGCGCATGGCCTCCGGGGCAGAGTGCTGGGGAGAGCCACCAAGGGACAAGAGTACTTGAGGGGTGCTCACATAGCCCCACAAAAACCCCACCGGTCCCACAGTCCCAAGCAGAAACTTCACGGTGGACAGACAATGGCAGGCACCCAGGAGCCCAGCAGCCTGGGTAACGTCTGTCAGCTTGACCTGATTTCCTTAAAGAAAGAGATTCAGGAATCCTATCTTTTTTTTTTTTTTTTTTTAATTTTATTTATTTATTTGAGACAGAGAGAGTGAGAGAGAGAGTGCATGTGGGGGGGGAGGGTCAGAGGGAGAAGCAGACTCCCTGCCGAGCAGGGAGCCCGATGCGGGACTCGATCCCGGGACTCCAGGATCATGACCTGAGCCGAAGGCAGTCGCTTAACCAACTGAGCCACCCAGGCGCGCAGGAATCCTATCTGACGTCGGGAGATGCACAAATTGGTGCAGAGAGAGGAGAGGCCCAGAGGAACACCAACTACAGACTGCACAGTAACCAAGGTGGGCCTGGGGGGACGGGAGGGGGTCGCTGGTGCCCCACCAGTCCCACGTCCTCCTGCGGGCCCACGTCACTCAAAGATGAACAAGGAAAGGGAACAGAGGCACCACCACTGCTGTGGGAAGAGAGGCTCCCGTGCCCTCCGGACAGCTCGCAGGGACGGGTCTCCTATCGAGGACAGAGCCAGCCTGGACTCTGGCCAGGAGGAGGGAACGCAGGAGCCAGGACACCCAAAGGCGAGGTGCCCCGTGGATGGGATGCCTGCTGGGAAAGATGCACTGGGCCCCGAGGCAGCCGTGGGCAGGCCAGGAAGGGGACACTCGCCAGAGGCCCCTCGTGGTCACCACACTGCTGATAATGCAGGTACGGCCGGCCGGGCCCTCGGAAACACGCAGAGAAACGTTCCAGGGGGCAGAGAACTCAGAGATCACTATACGGGGAAGCCCCAGAAAAAGAACTGTTTGTACTATTCTGGCAACTTTTCTCTAAATATAAAATCACTCGAAACAAAGTTAAAGCTTTCTTTTCCAAGATAAACCAACAAGCTTTAATAAAACCACGGCCCACAGGGAGCTACAACCCACCCTGCTTATTAACCCCTCACTCAGAAGCCCGCCTGCCAAGGAGCCTGCGGGCGGGGGGCTGGGGCACAGGCAGGGCGGGGGGCACGGCGGGGGCGGGGCGGCTCACCCGTGCTGCTCCCGGAGGTTGGCAGGGCTGTGCGCAGTCGGTCAAAATCGGAAAACTCATCAGGCTCCGTGTCAAAACCCACTGCTGTAGGGGCCCAGGATGTCGGCTCAGCTGGTCGAGGGGACCAGCCTCCCACTCCCCCTGCCCCCCAGCACCCGAGAGCAGACACCTCACGCTCACCTGCACACACACACACTCTCTCTCTCAGGCCCCCGCAGCCTGACCCCAGAGCCCCCCCCGTACCTGCAGTGCCATTGGTGCTGGGCTTGGCAGGTGACCCTCCCCAGGGGTCTGAGAAGGCCGGGGCTGGAGCCCAGGGATCAGAGGCAGCGGGTCCGCCAACTGGGGCCCCGCCTGGGTGAGGAAGGAGGCACGTGAGAAGCTGGTGGTTGGAGGATTTGTCACCGACGAATGTAGGCCCACTCCCTCCCAGAAGCTCCCCCCCGTCCCGGAAGTCCTGGGATGCAGCTGGACATCCCAGAGGCTTCAGGTGGGTGCAGCCCCAGCCAGCCCTTCCCGTCTGGTGCCCACGATCTACCCATGGTACACCGCTGCTGGGCCTTTGCCCACCTGTCCCTTCCTGGCAAAGCCCTCCTCAGCCTTGAGGCCTGTGGAAAGCCCCCAAGAAGCTCGCCAGCTGGGTAAGGGGCCTTGAGTGTGTGCCTCACCTAGGTGTGCCCAACCCCCACCCCGAAGCCCCCAGAGCTCCCTGAAGTCCCCACGGGGTATGTGGCCCCTTCCCAGACTGCCTGTACCCAGGCTCACCAGACACCCCACCCTGACTCCACCCTGGCAGCCTCTCCACAGCCCGACACCCCCTGGTGCCCTTCCCATTGTCCTTCAAGGCTCCCTCACCCACCCTCCTCTGGGCTGTCTTATCTGACCCCCCCCAGCTGCCTGTCACCCGCTTGACTGTATGTGTCCCTGCCCCAGGGTGTGCCCCGCACTGCACACTGGATGTGGAGGCTGGAGCAAGCAGGCAGCCAGCACTCACCATCAGAGCTCCCCCATGGGTCAGGCGTGGGCCCCTCTCCAGCTGCAGGGGCCTGGGTCCCACCCCAAGGGTCAACCGGGGGCCCCGCAGGGGCAGCTGGCCTCCAAGGGTCCCCAGAGGCTGGTGTAGGGGCTGGACCACCCCAGGGATCAGCAGCTGGAGGGACAGGGGCACCCCCCCAAGGGTCTGAGGTGGGGGCGCTCATGGGCGCTGGGCCCCCCCAGGGGTCCGAGGCTGGCGGTGGAGCCGGGGCCGTGAAGACGTCAGCAAGATCCATGAGGGATGACTGCAGGAAACAAAGGAGAGAAAGCATATGAGGTCCGAGCAGGCCAGGCCAGGGGACTGGGAAGAGAACCCGGAGGAGAGATGGCCGCAGAACGAGAGAGAGGAGAGAGCCGAGGCGTTGGCCGCCACAGAGGGATAACCAGGGGCCGTGAGACAGGAGGAGGCAGCCTCCCCACCTCCCATTCCCACCCCGCCCCCGCTCTGTCCGCTCCCCCACCACCCCAGCCCAACCCAGCCCAGCACCAAATCCAGGAGTCCCACCTGGTCCTGCCCCCATCCCTCCATCCACTCCCCAGTTCCCACCCGGAACGAGAACAGAGGCCAAAGCCCAAAGCCGCTCCTCCCAGCCCTGCCTGTGCACTCCCCACGCACTCTGGGAGGTCTGCCCTGGGGCGCCCACCCTGAGTCTCGGGTCATCACAGGCCCCCCTGAACGGTCCTGGCTGAGGCCCAGCACCCGTCCCACATCACTGCACGCTCCAGGCCTCCAGTGCCTCACGTGACCAACATACATGCGTGTGCATACAACCTCCCCTTGTCCTGGGGGTGAACCCAGCCAACCAGAGCCCCTGGTGTCTCTGGATGCAAAGGCGCACATCTCCCGTCCCCACAGGACAAAAGCAGCAGGTGCTGGGACCGACACTCTGAGCTGTCAGGCATCAGGGAGACCCTTTGGCCGAAGCCGGCGTGAGCAGGCTTTTCCACCAAGAGCTGCCCCATGCCCATCAGGAGAGTGTCTACACCCTCTGATCGGAGCTAGCCCCATGACCCACCCCCCTGTGGAGGCCGACCGCACTATGAAGACACTCAGGAACACTCACAGCGCCCGGTGTGAGGCCACACAAGAGGCCAGCTTAGATGCCCCAGCCACGTGAGTGACCGTGGCCCTGACGTGAGGAGGAAACCCGTCCACCCTCAGAGCCAAGAGAAGGGTTGAAGCGGCAGAAACTGAAACACCACCAAACGTCATCTGTCTCCACCGGAGGGACTGGAGGCCCAGAAGGTTGGGGACCAGACTGGTCTCGCTCACCCACCGACCCTCGGAGTCCGGGGTGTGGGCGGACACTGAGGAGGTGCCCCAGACAACGTGAGCGTGCAGGAGCTCTACGCCATCCCCTTCTCGCACGATCAGGCTGCTCAGTGACAAGGACCGACCAGGAGCAGCGGAGTCTCCCACGGCAGAGACAGACGGAGGTCACACCTAGAGCGCTCTGTGCTCCGGGCACTAACCAAGTGCCTTCCGGTCTCCAGGTCTCCACGCATCTCCGTGAGAAGACAGTTACCTGCAACAGCTGCCGCCTGGTGCCCTGCCCGAGGCCCCGGAGCGCATGGAGAGCGGGGCGGCCTGCCCGTGCTCACCTCCTCCTGGCCGCCGGTCTCCCTCCTGCTCTCCTCTATGGCCATCTGCAGCCTCAGGTCGTCCCCACGGCGGATCCGCTCTTCCTGTTCGGGTCACGGAAGCAGGTGGCAAGGGAGGGTCAGAATGTGAGCGGCAGGACTGCCCCCCGCCCAACTGCACGGCCCCCAATGACCCTCTCCCACCCAGACAAAAGTGACAAAATTAAAATGGGATGTGGACAATGTGTGGGGAGGGGGGACGGGGAACAACGTGCGGTCTAGGGGATGGGGACACAGGAGTGGTGTGCGGGAGATGGGCCTGGCCCGGCACGGCTCCGACAGGCTTGGGAAGCATGGGGCCCCGGGGAGGACGGGCCCTCCCGCCAGATGCCTGAGTCTGTGGCGTCTGCTGTGCTGGGTGGAGGTGACCAAGCCCTGGGCTGTGCCGGAGGGTGAGGGAAGGGCTCCCTCACCACCCGGAGCAGCTACGAGGCATCTGCTTCACCTGCTGAGACTGCACCCATCTGAGAATCCGTCTGACACAGGTCTCCCAGCTGGAAATGCTTCGGCAGAACGTGTGTAGACTAGGGATGGGGCTGGGGTGGGGAAAGGAGGGGCAAGGAAGCGGGGACCTGAGGAGGGTCTGAGGGGAACCCTACGGAGGGTAGGGAGGCTGCTCTGACCTTGTCGTGCTCCTCTCGGCTCAAACTAAGGGCCAGCTGGAGCTGGACGTCGTCCTCGGGGCCGCAGGACGGGGGCTGGGGGAGAGAGAGCGTGAAGGGGCCGGGGCGGGACACGAGATGGGGGGAGAGAAGAAAGGAGGGAGAAGAGGAAAGACACACACACACAGAACAACGGAGGGGAGCCAGGGACGGACAGAGCCACGGACAGCTCACAGACAGGAGAGAGAGACAGGCATCCACGCAGAAAGAACAAGAATTCTCAGGACGAGGTCAGAGGGCGAGCAGAGGGGAGCAGCGGACAGACCAGAGAGGCAGGGCGGGGGGAAGACCGAGCAGCAGCCCTCAGGAGCTGCGGGACGAAGGATGGAGATGGGATGGCAGAACCAAAGGCAAACCCCTGCCGTGCCCCCCCCAGCCCGCCCGGCACCTGGTCGGCCTCCTCCTTGCTCATGGCCAGGGCCAGCTGCAGCTGCAACTCCTCCTCCCCGCTGCTCTGTGGCCACGCCTGCTCCGCCTCGGGCGGGGGCCCAGAGCCCACCGCTGCTGAGGAGGCTGCCGTGGGGAGAATCAGCTGAGACCCCGGTGCAGAAGGGGAAGGGGGCCCCGCAGCCCGGACGGCGGGCCTCCACCGCCCCCAGAAGCCCTGCTGGCCCGAGAGCAAGAGCCCGCCAGGAGAGAGGGAAGGAAGTTTGGGAGCCTCGGAGCCCACGACCCAGATTCCCACACTGCACGCCTGGGGCCTGGCCCAGAGCCCGGGGCGGGTGGGGGACACACAGGTCCTTCATCCCGGCTCCCACAAAGCTCCCAGCACGTCCAGCGGCCTGCATTTCCAGGGCTGCTGGAGAACTGTACAGCAGGACCAGCTGGGCGTTCGGGGAACAACTGCGCCCGCATCCTCAGCCCCCAACCTCTTCCTGGCTGTGGCTGACGCGAGGGGTGAGGGGCAGCAGTGAAGGAAGGGAGGCAGAGAATGGGAAGGGGGATGACCATCTGGAAGGAGGGATGGACAGGGCGCGGGGGCCTAACGCAGGCAGAGGACCAGCTGAGCTGGGGGCAGCCGCCCGCCTGCTCATCCCAGCTGGCCTGCTCTGGTACTGGCATGCACGGGACCCTCAGAGAGCCGACCCGAACCCCCAGCCCTAGGCAGCCCCCTCCAAGTCCTGTGCGCTTGGTCTCAGGCACTGAGTGCCCTCAGGCGGGCCCGTGGGCAAACCCAGCTGGCAGCTCCAGGGCCCAGGCTGCGGGCAGGGGCACCGCCGGGCCCTGAGGTGGCTCTTGGTCAACACTTCTGCGTGAACACAAAGGTTCTCGGCTCTCGGGCCCTACAGTGAGGGGGACGGGACAGGGGAGGGCCGTCATGGGAGGGGAAGGCCTGAATCTGGAACTCCGGCCCGCCCGGCCGGGCAGCAGAGGGAGCGAGAGGGCTCGGCGGCTGGGCATGGGGCGCCCAGCAAGGAGGCCACCAGGGGCTTGGAGAAGAAGGGGCGGGTAGGCCGGGAGGGACCTCCCGGGGGCGGCGGCCTCACCAGTGGCGGTCTGCGCCAGCTTCTCCTTGGTCTTGAGCGCGTGGGCGCGCTCCTCCCGCAGCCGGTCCTCGTCACGCAGCAGGGCCACCAGCTGTTTGGCCTTCTCGCGCACGTTCACGCCCTGGTCCTTGCCATCACGGTCCACGTACTGGAAGTCCTTCAGCGTCTGCACGGCGTACATGTTCTCCTTGCATTGCTGCGACACACGCTCCGAGCCGGTCTTGATGAGGTACTCCATCAGCGTCATGGCCTTCGGGGCGGGGCACACCGGTCGCTCACACGGCCACCGGGACCCCAGTCCCAGCACCAACCCACACGGCAGGCCCCACACAGCGCAAGGAAGAACAGAGCACAGCCACGAGCGGCCACCTGCCGGGACGACCCCGAAGACGCGGTGCTGCGTGAAAGCAGCCAGACTCCAGAGAGCACGCGGCGCATGGCTGTGCTCACACGGAACGTCCTCGCCAGGCCCACCCACAGAGGAAGGGGCTTCACGGCCACCAGGAGCTGGGGGATCCTCAACGGATATGGGGTTTGTGCTCAGGGCGACAAAAACGCTCTGGACGTAGGCGGCAGGGAAAGCCACACCACCCGGGAACACGCTCGATGCCCCGGCACTCACGCGTCCCGAGGGCGACTCGTGCGGCACGGCGTCTACCCGTCTGGTAGAAGGACGGGAACGGCAGCCCCTGCAGCCTCCCCTGGACTTCCCACAGGGGTGCAGACCCCGCTCGACTTCTCTAAGAGGAAAACCCAAAGCAGCACAGCCACAAGGACACGCTGGTTTATCGCCCAAAGCAGCCCGGGCCAGGGGCCCGCACACCGCTTTCTCTCCCGTCCGAGAGTCTGGAAAGCATCACCCTTCCTGCCGAAGACTTCACAACTCAGGATGACGAGGAGGCGACTCCCCCCACCCCCGAATCGGCGGGAGGGAGCGGGACACCCCGCGACAGCCGCGGCATTCCAGGCCGGAGGACAAATTCTCTTCCCGACAAGGCAAAGTTAAACGGGAGCAAAAAGCGCCAGTCCTCAGACAACAGTGCACCTCAGAGTGCCCCCGACAGCCGCCCAGAGCACAGCCGAACAACAGAGGGAGGCCCCGGCCATTGGGGCTGAGCTGGCTCAGCAGCTATGAGATGTGCCGGGGACCCCGCTGTGGGTCATGAGTAACTCCCCACCGTCCACGGGAGCCGGACCTGGACCTGGCCGGCTGCCCGAAGGTGTGTCAACAGTAACCAGGGGTGAGTCTTTAACCAGCCCTCGAGGTGTTTCGGCATCACGGCAGAAAGAAAGCAGCAGACCGCGCCGGGCATGGAGGGCAGGCAGGCTCGGCGCACCCTGGGCCAGCTCTGCTGGGACCACCATGGCTGCACACACAACACACGCCTCCCGGCAGGTCAGTCACCCTACGTGACACAAACAGACGGTCTCGCCTCCGTCCGGGATGGGACTCGCACCCAACAAATTGGAAGAACCCGTTTCCAGGGCTCTGGAGAGCTTGGCAGTGAGTGCGGTTAGAGAGACAGGGAACCCGGAAATAACCCAAACACCCGTCAAGGGTCAAATGCACACGGAGGATGCACAGCGTGCTCATGGGACGGAAGCAGCACACACAGCAAGGTAACTAAAGAAACCTCCCAGATGCAGCAGACACAGAGGACCATGTGCATGAGCCCATGGAAAGTTCTAGAACCAGCCTGGCAGACAGGACACAGGGCAGGATGCTTCTGGGGGAGGGGTGCGTGAGCAGGCCTGGGGGGGACGGGGACACCCTCCATCTCCATCTGGGTGCTGGCCTCACAGGTGTGTGCACGTGTGAGAGCTGCCGGGTCGCACGCTCACGACGGGAACCGCAACGGCAAATGTGAACGTTTTCTCAAAAGCAAGCAACAGGACAACTCAACAGTCCCTGTTAATTTTCAAAACCGCTTGCTCACGGATGGCGGACGGGATCAGCATATGAGCGTCTAAAACAGGGACCAGCAAACTTCCTCTGAAGGGCCCAGGTGATCAATAACCCAGCTTTTCGGGCCACACGGCCCCTGTGCTGACCACTCAGCTGTGTGCCTCAGAGGGAGGCAGCTGCAGACGCACGGGCCTGGCCGCACCCAAAGGCTTTACAAACATGGGCGGCAGGCCAGATTCGACCCGTGGGCCGTCGTGCGTTGACCTCTGGTTTAAAAAATAAAACCTGAGGGGCGCCTGGGTGGCTCAGTCGTTAAGCGTCTGCCTTCGGCTCAGGTCATGATCCCAGGGTCCTGGGATTGAGCCCTGCATCGGGCTCCCTGCTCAGTGGGGAGTCTGCTTCTCCCTCTCCCACTCCCCCTGCTTGTGTTCCCTCTCTCGCTGTGTCTGTCAAACAAATAATTAAAATCTTAAAAAAAAAAATAAATATTTCCACACTTATTTGAAAAAAAAAGGTAAATTTCTTAAAAATAAAAACATGTATTTCTTAAAAATAAAAACGATACATACTTATTAAGATATTTCCACACTTATTTGAAAAAATAAAGCTGGGGCACTTGGGTGGCTCAGTCGTTAAGCGTCTGCCTTCGGCTCAGGTCATGATCCCAGGGTCCTGGGATCGAG